TCAAAACTCTAGCAACTGTAAAAATATGCTTTAAAAACATTTAAAGAATATTGTTAAAAATATGATTTTGTAAATAAAATCAAACCTGAACTCTGGGTAACAGAAATAGCATAGCTAAAGCTCTATCACTAACCTCATTTTTTAGGGCAAAAATAATTGTCTGTTTCCTTGAAGCAGATATTCTAAATTTTAATCCCTGTGACATCATTATTATCATTATTACTAGCTGGAGATAATGGGAGGAGCTAGCAGGGGACCTTAACAGAGCTAATGTGGGCAGAGACAAAACACTTCCCTGTCCCCTAACTGCAGCATAGTTCCCATCCTTAAAGTGGTACTAAAGGCTAAATACAAAAATGATATGTTGCAGTCTGTCACTAGCATTAACACAGCAGTCTTGCAACATCGTTTTTACCTGGTAATCCTGCTGGTTTTTCATATTTCTTTAACCAAGCTGTGCAGCAAAAGTGGAAGCTAGAGGGTTGGGACAAACTATTTAATGCTGACAGGGTGATTGGAATAGTAAACCTTCTCTCATCTTTATCCTAGAAGGAAACAAGACTGTTTCTGTAACTTGTAAATTGTTAACTGGAATTATGATTTGATTTATTAGCCACTTATGTGAAGTCCATCATCCAATCAGTTACAGCTGTTGTGCGGGTATCAGAATACAATAACCACATTGGGAAATGCCTTCATCCACGCTATTTAGAGTGGATGGAGGAATCTGTTAGGGAATGTTCACATCATATTAATTGAACTGTGCTTTTCTTACCACCACACAAAAGAATAGTAAAAAAAAGAAAAAAAAGTTTAAAAATTGTTAAAAAAATTGAATAAAAAATTATTTTTTTGTATCATATTGTCAACAGTCAAGTTTCCATGATCTCCCCCCTACCAGTCATATGATAATGCTGTACTGTGCTGGTGACAGTATGTAAAGAAATATCTAATTTCTTCATTTTCCCAAACATTAAAAAAAGTACAACTTCAAAAAACTTGCCATGCCTCTTAGTAAATACCTGACTGTCTACTTTCAAAAAAAGGGTCATTTTGGGGGATATTTGTAATGTCTTGGCATTTTAAGGGCCTCAAGAAATTAGATAGGCCATCAGTACATCAGTATTGATCAATTTTCAATTATACATACCATAGTTTGTAGACGCTATAACTTTCACACAAACCAATTAATATACACTTATTGGGATTTTTTTTTTTTACCAAAAGACATGTAGCATAATACATTTTGGCATACATGTATGAAGACATTTTTATTGGACATGATTTACAACAGAAAATAGAAAATATTTTTTTTTCACAATGTTCTGTATTTTTTCATTTATATAATAAAAAAACCCCAGTGGTTTTCAAATACTACCAAAAGCAAGTCATGTTTGTGTAAAAAAATATATAAATTAAATTTTTCTACAGTGTTGCATGACCAAGCAATTGCCAGTTAAAATAGCTGAATAGCAAAAAATGGCTGTCATAACAGGGATAAAACCTTCTGGAGGTCAAGTAGTTAATAGATAAGATATATATATATATATATATATATATATATATATATATATATATATATATATAGATAGATGATAGATATTAATTTTTTTATTTGTCTCATAATCTAAAGAGAGTGTATAGATAAAAAGGTTTATTAAGGTTTCCCTCTTGGGAATAATGCTTTTTAGGAATTTGCCCTGCTTACCATTTTAATTTATTTGCACTTTGGTGTTTGTGTAAGTTGCTGCTGGGCAAATACTGTAGGTAGGTACTGCTTTAATATGATTTTATATTATTTGTTAATGTTGCTATCAATAATAAATATTTGTTTTATTTTTGTATGTTCTGGTGCTAGTGGTGTGCTTATTTTTTCTATCATCTTTTTCTGTTTTGGTTTTGAAATGAGTTTGTTTTTGGTAGATAGAGCACCCACCTACTTAAGGTGAGTCAGAACCAGTGCAAAGTATTGTAATATAAATTACTTACTATTTTTTTTTGTTTAAAAGATGTGTGGAAGGACTGGGCATATGGCTTTTGTGGTGGGGGACTGTGTATAAATATGGAACAGTGGGGAGTGATGATTAGTGCAGGGGGTAAGAGTTGGTGAAATAGCAATGTTTGGGTGTGCACAGCATTTGGTTAGGGGACATGATGATTGTGACCATCCTCATTCTGTGTACAATTTCTATACCTTAAATGAGTATTGCCTCTTGAGCTGTTTTTTTTTTAACCTCCATGGGACAATATGAAAAACTCAGAGTTTGTCTATAGTGCTGGGAAGATGTGAATACAGAGTGTAAGTTGCTTCAGTTTTTTGCCCCTTTAACTTTAATATACAACACAAAATCCTTGACCCTGTGGCACTTTCAAAAAAGAGATGTTTAACACCTTTTATAAAATATCCAAGTCTGTACACAAAATATAACCTGTAGACCCATTCACATTAAGAGATCAAGAAGCAAACATTTTTCATAGGTATTATTTAGGACAGGGGTAATGAGATTAAGTATGGACTGGAGGCAATCAGATCAGTTATGGTGCTCACATTCTGTGTTTACTGTATTTACATGAGACTGTTGCAGGTCTCTATATCTTGGACCCAAGGTTACAGTATAAGTAAGTTCCCCACTGTTGCTGAAGTTTTCTCAATATGCTGTTATGGAGAAGGAAAACAAGCTCAACCTGAATATCCCTGGACGTCATTTGACTTGAGCTTTCAAGAGGTGATGGCTTAAGTACAGGGAGATAAGTGTAACCTATGCTCTACGTGGACCAACCCCACTACTCTAATCCATTCTTACTGGATTAACTTGTGGTTATCTTTTCCTTGCTCTTGTGTCTTCTAGATTTTAATTTCATTTTATTTTTTCTTACGTACATATAGTGAATATCAGGTTAATCACTGGTTGAATTAGGGACATATTCTCCTTCTGCTAATTAATGTCTCTTAATCTTGTTGTGGATAGTGCTCAATACTGCCTTAGCAAATTATACTGTATTGTGTAGAATGTTTCCTGCATGCTTCTGTAAATATGGTATTATACTTGTGGTATGATTTTTTTAGGTAGCTCATTATTATTTTCATGATTTGTAAATGACCTACCCATTAATAAGCAAATAGCTAATTGGTGTCTGTGATGATATATAAATTGAAAGCCTGGTTCTTAGGATCGTGTTTTTAATTGCTTTATTGCATGTTTCAGGCTCATATGTGATAAAAATGTATAATAGTATCTAAATAATTACAGAGCAAAAGTCACCAGGGAATTTAAATATCTTAAGAAAGTAAAAACAGAATTTTCATAGATGGCTTTGTTGCTCCCTTTGAGTTGCATAGAGTGGATGATAGCATTCATTGTGTACTATTGTGTTGATCTCTGTGAGTGTCACAGTGATTATGTAGTACAGACAGGGCCAATCACAGCCCATCTTTACCACGTAATTAGCTGTGTCCAATCACAGCTAATCACACCAGTACACACTGAATGAATGGATTTTATTCAGAAAAAATGGCTGCTTATAACAGTTACGTATAATAAATCACAGTGGGTAAAAAAAAAAGTCCTAATCAGCTCCCCAGAGTATTACAGTGTTCCTATGATAACATTGTTTTGCTTTAGTGACAGTACAGTATATATATATAAAAAAAAAAAAGAAAATGAACAAAATGGACTACTGTCACAAATCAGTGTCCCTGATTACTGCCACACAAGTTATATGATGACTAGAGATGAGCGAATTGAACATGACGAAGTGGAATTCGTTTCGAATATTAGGAAAAATTCGATTTGCGCCGAATCCGAAAATTAGCAAACCTCGGATGCACGAATCGAATTTTCCCCGATCGGCCGATTTTCATCCCTTCTACAGCCGGCAAAAAGTGTCCCTGCAGAGAGCTCTGCTATTTCTGACAGTTCTCTGACAGTTCCTTCACATTTACAGCGGTTGAAACATTGTATCTATTTGTTTCCATTTAGGATACAGATGTTTTTATTCGGAAACAAATAGATACAATGTTCTTCATCCTCATCCTCTTCTTCATCCTCATCCTCTTCTTCTTCTTCTTCTTCTTCCTCATCCTCTTCTTCTTCTTCTTCTTCCTCATCCTCATCCTCTTCTTCTTCTTCTTCTTCTTCTTCTTCATCCTCATCCTCTTCTTCTTCTTTCTTCTTCTTCTTCATCCTCATCCTCTTCTTCTTCTTCTTCTTCATCCTCATCCTCTTCTTCTTCTTCTTCTTCATCCTCATCCTCTTCTTCTTCATCCTCATCTTCTTCTTCTTCATCCTCATCCTCTTCTTCTTCTTCTTCTTCTTCATCCTCATCCTCCTCTTCTTCTTCTTCTTCATCATCATCATCATCCTCATCCTCTTCTTCTTCTTCGTCTTCTTCTTCCTCACCATCATCCTCTTCTTCTTCTTCTTCATCCTCATCCTCTTCTTCATCCTCATCCTCTTCTTCTTCTTCTTCTTCTTCATCCTCATCCTCATCCTCTTCTTCTTCTTCTTCTTCATCCTCATCCTCATCCTCTTCTTCTTCTTCTTCTTCTTCATCCTCATCCTCTTCTTCTTCTTCTTCTTCTTCCTCTTCCTCATCCTCTTTTTTTCATCCTCTTCTTCCTCTTCTTCATCCTCTTCTTCATCCTCTTCCTCTTCTTCTTTTTCTTCTTTTTGTCTTCCTCTTGCAGGTCACTGCTCATGCGCAGATTTTTTATCGGCAAAAAAATCGTCCGATTTGCCCACTATTGCCGCGAAAATCGGCCGATAAACTGACTTTCTGCTTCACAACCACTATTCTACGTTCAAAGAGTTAAATCCATTTACACGCCGGCTGGCGGTAATATTTTTTGGGTGATTAGTGCATTCCAGTGACACAAACGTACAGTTTCCAGCCAACGGCAAGCTGCAATTGACCGATTGTGTACAATAAACTGACTTTCTGCTTCACAACCACTATTGGCCTTCAATTGAAGCTGCTTCCGCTCCGCCACTCTGCCATTGGACTCTTGATAGTCGTCTCCCCACACTGCTGCTGGGGGGACTTTTTAACCTAGGCCTGTGTATGGCCTTCAATTGAAGCTGCTTCTGCTCCGCCACTCTGCCATTGGACTCTTGATAGTCGTCTCCCCACACTGCTGCTGGGGGGACTTTTTAACATAGGCCTCTGTATGGCCTTCAATTTAAGCTGCTTACGCCATGGGCCCCTGTACCACCTCCTCATGCTGCTGCCAGGTCCAGAGTGTGTCATGGGTCCCTGTACGGCCTCCCATTGCTGCTGTCTCCATCGCCACACTCTGCCATGTGCCACTTTCAGGTCTCCTCACACTGCTGGTGGGTTCCATTTTGTCATAGGGTGCTGTATGGCCTCCCATTGCTGCTGCCTCCACCGCCACACTGTGGCTCCACACTCTGGTTTTGGCCCCGTGACTGCCCAAATGAGTGAAGTGTGCGGTGATTCTAAGATCGACGGCACTCATCTGCATGTCATACTGACTGACAGTATTATTTCTCTTCCCCAGCAGACTCCAAGGGCATTTAAATTAAAGGTACAGTGTTCTGCACTAATATAAAGGCTCTCTGAAGCCTAGAAACCCTTTTAAAAAGTTAAATTCGCAGCGAATAAATTCGCATCGAATCGAATTTATTCCGCAAATTCGGCGAATCAGCGAATCAAATTTTTGAATAATTCGCTCATCTCTAATGATGACACTGTACTGCACTGGTGACAGTATGTAAAAAGAAAATGTGAAAAATAGAATTTTTCTTAATTTTTTCATTTTCAAAAAAAGCCGTGACTAATAAACAAACAACTTAAAAAAAACACTGGAAATGCCTCTTACTAAATACCTTGTACTGTCTAATTTCCAAAAAGGGGTCACTTGGGGAATACTTGTACTGTTTTGGCATTTTCAGTCCTCAAGAGGCTGTCAGTACACACTCAAGATCAATTGATTTTCAGTTATACTGTATATACCATAGTTTGTGGAATCTATAACTTTATTACAGACTAAAAAATATACACTGATTTGGGTTATTTTTACCAAAGGAATATAGTAGTATACACTTTGGTCTAAATTTATGAAAAAGGGTTATTTATTTGCAAAATTGAGTAACCGCAACAAATAAACCGCATTTTTTTTCAAAATTTCCTGTCTTTTTTTTTTTTTAGAAAAAAATAAAAAAAACTTAGTGGTGATTAAATACCCTCAAAAGGAAGCTCTATTTGATTGAAAAAATAACAATTTCATTTGGGTACAGGGTTGCATGACTGTGCAATTGCCATTCAAATATGACAGTGTTGATAGCTGAGAATTGGCCTGGGAAGGAACAGGGTGAAAGTGTCCAGTATTGAAGTGGTTAGTAACAAACACGTTATACTTACCTGCTCTGTACAATGGTTTTGCACAAAAGCAACCTCTATGCTCCTCCTTAGGTTCCCCAGGTGACACTCCTGGCTCCTACCCCCCTCTTAGTGCCCCCAGAATAAACCACTTGCTATGGAAACACGCTTGCAGACTCACATGCAGAGTGCAGCTCAGACTTATCCCCTGCTGCCTCCTCACCTGCTGTGATTGGAAGTCTATACACATTACATACTACATTTCTCCACTGGACCCTGATACCAGCAGGATCGTTCAAGTGGTTAAGCCACATGTTCCAGCAATAGGGTTGCCAGACAGGAAGAATAACTAAACAACAAATAACTCACGCTACTATACACCAAACAATTTGTGACCAAAATAATTGTGCCAACTAAACAAATAAATTTGTGTTAAAGAAAGCTGCTGCTCAAAAGTGAATTGCACTAATACATAATAATTACTTATAAACACATCTCATTACAAAATACAGTCCTTATATCTAGTGGTTCATGCTCATGTGCTCCAATACAGTGTCACATGCTTTGAAGAAAAATACAAAATGAATAACCCATGTCTTGAAACAAATTTCAGCTGCGTAGTGCTCAGTGATCCCTCCGCTGTCCAGATATGGTGGCCTCCTAGCTTTATGGGCTTAAGAGTCAAAAATGCTTATTTCTGGTGGGATGTGCTCACAGATATTTCCAGAATTCAATGGAGTACCAGACCCATGGTTGTAATGTAAAAGGTTTGATCTGTCAATACATTCTGTTTACCATCATGTAGATAATAAAGGGAAGCAAAAGGAACACTGATAGTGTAATATTGTCATGCCATTTATTAGCTATGAATAACAATATATATTACACTCACATTCCATAAATAACAAATAGCCTTGTAAGGTATTATCCTTGAAAAGCCTCAACAAAGGTAATGCAGCAGTATAAAGATGGCTCCAGAGCACTGCTCGCTCACGTGTGCTCCACTCACCGGACGTGACATCACACAAAACAGCTGAAAACCTGAAATTGTGTCAACACGTTTCGCCCCTCCTACAGGGCATCCTCATAGACGTCCATCTATAATTTATTTATTCAGTGCTCCCTCAGTCTCAGCACAATAAGCTATGAGCGCATTTCAAATCCTGCATCTGTCCGCCCAGTAGTGACATTCCCAGACACTAATAACTTTTTCAAATCTCTTAGAAGTACAGGAGAAAACTTGTGTCCAGTGGAAAAATGGAGTATATACAAGAATACCAGTCTTGATCATAAACAAGACTGAACTGGAAAGAACACTGTGAAAGGAGAGATGTGAATTAATATCCTCCATAACATGGGGAGGAACCAATGACGTCATGCTGCAAAACAGGAAGTGAGTGGGCTGCTATCTTGCGTGAGACATTTTTGCAATAAAAACTGATGTGCACTAGAATATGTACACTTTTTCAATTGAGTTTTTGAATTTTTGTTCATATCCTAATAAACAAATAATATTAGTTATACAGAGCGCATTTTATATATATATATATATATATATATATATATATATATATATATATATATTATTTTGTGAGCTTCCTAACTATAACAAGTGAAGGATTACTTTGGATGGATGGAGGTGGATTGAAGGACATCTGCGCTGAGCAGAGGGAAAAAACACTCCTGGTGTACAACATCCTGTTTAAAGGGAAAGCACGTGAGACCTGATTTACATTGGTTCAGATGATAAGGTGAGAGTATTAAATTGTTCGTGAAGGATTGTGCACTATACAGATCGATAAGTGTACAATACAAGAGAAAAAAAAATAATAAATGGGTACTTGATTGTTAATTGAAGCACCTTTATTGATACAGAATTATGGACATGTTTAGTTGATTTTGTTATGTTTTAATGTAGAAACATTTCTTGATAATATAGGATTATTATTACATTATTGTATATAGTACTGCCTGGCACTTATTGATACAGTTATGATGATGGCACATGTGGAAACACATAGACTGTATGCAGCAGTATTGTAACCTATAGTTACATGCACATTTTTTGGCATATTAACATATTTTCACTTTATTTTTTATTTTTTTATTTTGGTCACAATTGCTCTAACCATAGTGATTGCTCTGAGGAGTTTGTTGATTTATCACTACAGTATATGGAATTGCTTATAGAAAATTGTTGCTATCCTAAATAAGCTGCTTTTGACCTCTTATAGCTTAAGAGGTCCATCATTGAAGGTGGGCATTCAATTTGAAAGTCACGTGGTGTAGGATGTGGAGGAACCAAGTGGTGGTTTGACAACTAGAGGAGCCTTATCACAGTTTTTTCACTAATAGACACAATGTGAGCACACATTTTTGGATTATGTTGATGGAACTTAATTTTAATTTGTATTTGTATTTATTTATTTCATTATTCATGTTTTGCTTTTTAGTTGTTATAATCATAATTTTAATGAGCACTGAGAGGCACTTAGATATATGTGGATAACTCTTGCACTTGATATATCACAATAGGATATCAGTGTATTGGAGGGAGCACTACACAATTTTACACTTTGTTTTAATAGTCCTAATGAACTATTTAATTTCCCTGCACTCCTAAGCTATTACTACCATTTGTGGAAGATTTGTTCATTTTATTCCTTTGCAAATTTTACAAAAGCCTTAAATGCATCTGTAAATAATTGTATTGTATTTGAAACATTATTTTGTTGTCAAGATTAATGGGACAATCTGCAAAAATAAAATAGCACTTTATATTTATACTAACATTTATTACTTGACTTAAGTCTCAAAGTGTTCTAATAAATCATTATTCCAAGCTAATATGTCTCATTTGTCAAACATTGTAGAACAAATTATGTTATACAGGTTGTTTTATTTCCATTGGCATTCTCATGGATTCAAATAGTGTTCACACAGGAGCACTGACAAAACACGGTCCATAAAACTCTCCTGCAACATTGTTAAATTTGACCCTGGATGTTATGTTTTGATCATGCACTGACAAACCTCATATAGCATGCACTGCCTATACTGTACATATGCTGAGACTTGCAATAGAAAAGAGCAATCCTTTACATTCAATGTAAAATAGCAATGAAGGCTGCAAAAGGTGTCATAAGGATTTCCACACACTGGCAGACACTGTTAATAATTGACCAACCAGCCCCAGTTCTCTTGCAGACATTTTTTTTTTAATTTAGATCCCAGAGATAGTTGCAAAGGTTATAAATTGCATTCCTAGTATACTAGATAATGCATGGTCAATGATAACAAAAATTGAATGTAACTACTGTATAGGATTCCTTGACAGAAGACTTAAAGTGTCATTTCAGCCAAAACATTTTTTTTAGTTTTGAAAAAACAAGGAACGGGTTCAAACTTCAGTCAGGATTTTATTGCTGTCTGTGTCCCTGGGATAGAAATTCTTTTTCTTGACAGGATGCATTCAGTAATTAAAAAAAACTGAAGAATGTAACTCTACCCTACTCCACTAAAAATATTTTTTCTTCTGGTGTGTACACCCATTGGATAGTTACTTTATCTCCAATGGATACATTACCTTGGTAAACATGCAGCTTGGCTTGTTCTGGTTCCCAATACTTAATATTTGTCATCTCCATATAACTGAATTGCGTCTACAAATCTAAAAATCCACAGGGTTTTCTATCTTATGGTTTTCTATGTAGATCACCTCCCCTAGAATTCAGCAGCACTTTTTCAATATCTTGAAATGAAAAAGAAGTCATATATCCTCCATGTACATCTCTAAAATGATGAGACACATTGGGATTTTTTGAAGAAATTTTAAAGGTAGGTGTAACGGTAGTACATTAGGCACATGGAAGCTGTATGTGTCAGCCATCTTGTTCAGGTCTCAGCCATATTTGTCAGGAGACCAGTGATCTTATCCCATCTCTCCTCCTGCAATCCGTGGAATTCATAGCCTTAACATTTAACACACTTCAAAAGAGTCTGTTATCTCAACTTTGGGACAGCAGATACCATTGCACAGTCCTTTGCCAGAACTGTAAACAGCTAATTGAAGTCCTGGCAGTATGTCTGTTAGTTTCTGTTGATGATAAAAAAAATCTACAGATTAACACTTCTTCCTGACCTATCGTAAAACTATGACAAAATCCTTCAGTTCTGTTACCCATGGCTTGTAGGCTAATTAAAGCACTAAGAAGACATAGCATGCCACTA